CCCCCCCCCCGGCGAGGAGGAGCTGAGGCGCCTCGAGGCCGCCCTGGCCAAGAAACCCAACCCCGACATCCTCGACCACCAGCGCAAGAGGAGGGTGGAGCTGAAATGCCTGGAGCTGGCTGAGCTCATGGAGGAGCAGGGGTGAGGGAACGGACCCAAAACTGGCTAAAATAACCCCAAAATAACCCCTGGAGCTGGCTGAGCTCATGGAGGAGCAGGGGTGAGGGAACGGACCCAAAACCGGCCAAAATAACCCCAAAATTACCCCAAAATAACCCCAAAATAACCCCTGGAGCTGGCTGAGCTCATGGAGGAGCAGGGGTGAGGGAGATCCCAAAAATAACCCCAAAATGACCCCAAAATAACCCCCCAAACACCCCCTGGAGCTGGCTGAGCCTCATGGAGGAGCAGGGGTGAGAGAGATCCCAAAAATCACCCCAAAATAACCCCAAAATGACCCCCCAAACACCCCCTGGAGCTGGCTGAGCTCATGGAGGAGCAGGGGTGAGAGAACTGAGCCAAAACTGGCTAAAATCACCCCAAAATTACCCCAAAATAACCCCCTGGAGCTGGCTGAGCTCATGGAGGAGCAGGGGTGAGAGAACTGCCCTAAAATCGGCCAAAATTACCCCAAAATAACCCCCTGGAGCTGGCTGAGCTCATGGAGGAGCAGGGGTGAGGGAATGGACCCAAAATCACCCCAAAATTACCCCAAAATAACCCCCTGGAGCTGGCTGAGCTCATGGAGGAGCAGGGGTGAGGGAACTGCCCTAAAATCACCCCAAAATGACCCCAAAATAACCCCTGGAGCTGGCTGAGCTGCTGGAGGAGCAGGGGTGAGGGAACGGACCCAAAACTGCCCAAATTGACCCCAAAATCCCCTTCCCCCCCCAGGTACTCCGGCGAGGAGATCGAGGCCAAGGTGGCCACGTTCCGCACGATGCTGCTGGAGAAGGACGAGGGGCCCGGGGACCCCGAGCAGAAACCCACGTGAGCACCCCCAATTAACACTAATTAACCCCTGAGGCTCCCTAATTAATCACTGAGCCCCCCCTAATTAGCCTGGAGGGAAGGGGTGGGGCCTGAAGGGAAGGGGAGGGGTTTGAAGCCAAGGGGTGGAGCCTGAAGGAAAGGGGAGGGGCCTGGCGAGATAGGGCGGGGTCTGGACAGGCAGGGGGCCCTTCCTCATTAATAAATGGATGATCTAATGACCTCATTACCCTAATTAGTGTGACGGAGACCCACCAGCTGGCCGAGGCCAACGAGTGCAAGAACGAGCGTTTGCGGGCGGCCTAATTAACTAATTAACCTCTAATTAGCCCAGAGGAAAGGGGTGGGGCCTGGAGGGCAGGAGGTGGAGTCTGGAGGGAAGGAGTGGAGTCTGTTTAACTGAGTTAATTAATTAATTGACCCTTAATTAGCCTGTAAGGAAGGGGCGGAGCCTGAAAGGAAAGGGAGGAGTTTGAAGGCAAGGGGCGGAGCCTGAAGGAAAGGGGAGGGGCTTGGCAAGATAGGGCGGGGTCTCAACAGGCAGGAGGTTCTTTCTCATTAATGAATTGATGACCTAACGAGCTAATTACTCTAATTAGCGTGACGGAGACCCACCAGCTGGCCGAGGCCAACGAGCGCAAGAACGAGCGTTTGCGGGCGGCCTTCGGGATCAGCGACTCCTACGTGGACGGGAGCTCCTTCGACCCC